ACAGGGGGCGTGGCTGTGAAAGGCGAGGTCAGAGAGACAGGGGGTGTGGCTGTGGGAGGCAGGGTAAAACAGACAGGGGGCGTGGCTGTGAAAGGCGAGGTCAGAGAGACAGGGGGTGTGGCTGTGGGAGGCAGGGTAAAACAGACAGGGGGCGTGGCTGTGAAAGGCGAGGTCAGAGAGACAGGGGGTGTGGCTGGAGGAGGCAGAGTCAAAGACAAAGCGTGTGCGATGGGAGGAGGCGGGGTCAGAACAACACGGGATGCGGTGAGGTGCTCGACCTCCTCCGGGGGGACATCCTTTGGAGGATCAGAGAGCGCAGTGACGACAGCTGGCAGGTAGGTGGCGGTACAGTCTTCATGAGGCCACCCTAGCTGGCGGGCGAAGGCCGGGCAGGACAAGGCAACAGGGGCGGAAGCGGTGCCCGGCGGCCGGGGGTCCCGGGGGGTCGAGCCAGGCAATGGCCTGAGAGGGATCTCAGTGGGGGTGTCCCTCAGCTCCTGGCCTTTAGAGAGCTCCTCCTGCCGCGGGGACACCCCACTGTGCGGGGGACCGTCCCCAAAGCGGAGCGGCACATCTGCAGAGCCAGAGCAATTGCAAAAAAATGAAACGCGACACCCACCCACACACCCACCCTTCCACACCTCCTCCTCCATCTGTCCAACACTCCCTGTGCATGGTGCTGCACACCGTCATTAACATCCCACTAACCCTAACCCTCCCGGAACATTCCATCAGGGAAGCTCTAACATTTTAACCATGTTCTTCTGAATGTATATGACAAAAGAAAAACTTGAAATTCTTCTCTTCTACAAAACTGCTACAATCCAGGTGCAGGGTGACATTCTGTAGAACTACAGGTCTGAGCTCATATCAGCAAATGGTGCCCTGTGAATTTACCCAGCGATGATGGCCATGGGTGATGTGTCCTGGGAGCCCGGCCAGTGAGACTCACCTCTCTGTTGGGGCGGAGCTGCCTGGGCCCTGGAGCTGCTCCCGCAGGGGGCGCTCACGTGCTGGCCATCCACAGCGGTCCCTGAAGCCCGAGGTGCCTGGAGTCTGTGATCCGGAAGAGAGGAGCTGTAGAACCTGGGTATTGGAAGACATGAGAGATTAACCACAGAGGGGTGAAGCCCACCTGCGCTCAGGAACACAGGAAGTCACATGACGGGAAGTGAGCGTCAGCAGGTGGGCGGGGCTCAGCTGCCAGGTCAATCCATAAGAAAAACATACGTAGGTCTAAAAGGAGAAGGTGGCAACCTGAAGCCCAGGTCCGGTGTGGGGCAGGTGCCGGGCAGTGTGGCGGGGGCCTCTACAGAGGACGGCCTGTCTTCACACCTCTCTGGCTCTGCATTCGCCACACGCACCTCGCTTTTGTTCAGGACCTGAATGGGGAGAGTGGGCCAAAGGTAACTGGGTGCAACAGAGAGGAGGAGACCTCGCTCAGCTCAGGTGAGAAGCAAAATGACGCAAACCAGGAGATAAAGTCAGTGCAGTGTGTGTTACAGTAATACAGCAGGATCACTGCGTAATCAGGAAGACGGAAGACAGTGCAGTGTGTGTTACAGTAATACAGCAGGATCACTGCGTAATCAGGAAGACGGAAGACAGTGCAGTGTGTGTTACAGTAATACAGCAAGTTTACTGTGTAATCAGGACGAAGGAAGACAGTGCAGTGTGTGTTACAGTAATACAGCAAGATTACTGCATAATCAGGAAGACAGTGCAGTGTGTGTTACAGTAATACAGCAAGATTACTGCGTAATCAGGAAGTGCAGCGAAGGACACAGAAGCAGCTAATTTACTCTACATGTATTTCTAATGAACAACAATGTTCACCCTTCAAGCCCTGAACAACAGTCCCGTTCCAGACAAACCAGTCACCTACACAGAGAGTCTTTCCCTATTTAACAGATGAACAGTTGATCCCTGAATCAATCTGACAGCGTTTATGTCTGACACCCCCCGCCCCCATCAGCCAAGCAGCATTTAAAGGGACTGACCTTCTCCAGCAAAGGTCTGGTGGTCTCTGTCAGAGGATCGTGGGAGAACTTGCAGTGCTCCCCTTGATAGCATTTTGTATTCGTGTGGAAGAACTTACAGGGGTAGTCATGTGACTCGAGGGTCAAGGAGGCAAACAGGCCACAGCAAAGATAATAATAATACAGTAAAGATACAATAATAAACATACATGACATTTACCAGTGTGTGTGTGCGTGTGCGGTCCAGGTGTACATTACATTGTGGGGACCAAATGTCCCCAAAATGTGATACAAACCTGTTATGTTGAGTTTGTGGGGACCATTTTTTTTGGTCCCCACAAAGGAAAATTCAATTTCATAAAAATCTGTGGCTGCAATCAAAATGCTAAAAGTCTTGTAATCTGTCTGGTTACTTATGGTTAAGGTTAGGGCTGGGTAGGGGTTATGGTTGTCATAGTTAGGATTAGAGTTTTGCCCATAGAAATGAATGGAGAGTCCCCACAAAGATATAAATACAAACATATGTATGTATGTGTGTGTGCGTGCACATATGCAAATGTATAAATATAATCAACTTCACAAAGTCGATATTTGGTACTTGGGTCAGCTGGGGCTGGCATTTTGAACCCGGGGCCGGCAGCCACAGAGGATATTGTGCATGTAGATGCAGCTCTCTCCCTTAGTGCAGTAACCCTGCACGTAGTACTTGCACAATTCTAGTTTCTTGTCCAGGATCACCAGCTCATGCTCGAATTTACACTGGTCCTCCTGCAGGAGACGCAAGTGAGTCAGGCCGGGCGCCTCCTTCCTTCGCCTCCCCTCCGCACCCCCTGCGAGGCTCTCACCTTGAGGCAGCGCCCACCCAGGAAATATTTGCAGATGAGGCGGCCTCTGTGCTCCACGGCATGTTGGCTGATGAACTCCTGTGACATGAAGGGCTTCTTCACAAAGCCTGGGGGCTGGGGGGTGACAGAGAAAGGGGGAGAGAGAGGGAGGGATGGAGAGAGGGATAGAGAGAGAGGGAAAGAGAGAGCAAGGTAGGAAAAGTCGAGGAAAGGATGCAGCGGGAAAGGGGGG